GAAGAGCAAGGTACACACACTCAGTGATCAGTGATCTCTGAGTGTGTGTACATCATTGAGAATATGGTATGTTAACTATATCCTCAATTATGAATGAATGGGAAGTGATCTACATCACCCCCATTCATTCATAATTATAGCTATAGTAAACAAACAATGTTCTCATGTTATCAATGAACAGGAACACTCAGTATAGAGGATTCCTGTTCATTGATAACAGGGGGACACAGAAAAAGAGATGGAGGACTTTGTGTTCTCAATCTCTTTTTCTATTTTAAAAGGGAAATATCAGGGGTCTGTTTAGCCCCCTTATATTTCCCAGAAGCCCCTAAAAGTAAAAAATAAAAATATTTAATAAAAAATGAATTAATAAAAATATAAAAAAATTAAAAAGTTTATAAAAAATAAATAAAAATAATTTTTTAAAAACAAATTTGAAAAAATAAAAAACATTTTCGGTATCGGTTTCGGCCTGACATTTTTTTTTAATTTCGGTTTTAACATTTCCATTTCGGTGCACCTCTAATATACACACACACACAAGACCTGCATACTGGCTCATACTGGACGGATGAAGATGACAGTCTTGGACCTCTCCCTAAAAACAAGCCAGGACCTCCCCAACCAGTTTCCTCTCAAGAAGATTGTTTTCCCTAAATCGGGAGAAATGGCTACAATAGCAAAATTGGAAAATAGCAGCATATCAAATGCTCAGAGAACAAGTGTGAGAAGTTTTCGCGGAAGGCAAATCATCTGCAAAGTGGTTACCACGGGAACATCAGTAATAAAAGATTTACCGATCTGCAGAAACAGAGCAGAACTACTATGGCGTCAACTTTTTGCACTCAACATGGAAAGAGATGAAAATAAAAGGGGGAACCATTTACTTGGAAGAATCAGAGACCAATTCTTTCCATAAGCATTAGTATAAGTGCTTTGTACAATTTGATACTTTACCTCCTTATGCTTCATAAACAAATGTCCAGGTTGTGTTGGTTTTCCTTTTCTCTTGCCTTCTCCTTATTTACGTGCCCAATGTCATATGCATTTTTTTTTTAAGGTGAACTTTACACCAATCTAGGCATTTTATCTGAGCTTAAATGGGATGGGATGAGATGGGAAATCCAGAGAGAGGTGATTGCCAGTCTGTGTCCCATTGGAGACTTTACTTCACTTCCTGTCCTGTAAATGCAACAGGAAGCTAGAGAAAAATCGCTCCAAAGTTAAAGAAATCTGCTCATGGAAAGTTGTCACTGCAACAAGTATCCGCATTGAAAAAGTTCCCTTCTATTCCTGTTCTGGTTGCAGCCCAAAATGTAGGATTTTCCCTCACTTTTAGCCTCAGTGGCAATGATCACTGGGACACAGAAATTGTTAATCCCCCCGGCAGGATCACACAGCAATGAAAACCTGGAATTAAGGTGGTGGGGGAACGATGGATGCTTGGTGGAGGCTCAGAATAGACCAAATTATTGCTAAACTGTGGCAGCTCTACCTGGTCTTGTATGGAATGTAAGCCAACATGTTCCCAGGGTTATGAATGAACCCCCCTTCAGGGCTTCAACCTATTTTGCAAAAGGAATCTGGGCGAGTGGTTACTCCTGGATTCTTCTTACATTGTGGTTAAAATCTAACTCAGTTAGCTTGTCTGACATCTAACCACAGCTCACAAATTTAAATCTAACCACCCATCCAGATTCCACTTACGCAATAAGTCTAAACCAGGGCTGGACAAATTCCGGGAGCTAGACAGCCAATGCCCCTTGAAAATGACAGCTGGCGCCTAATTTTTGAGGTTTTCTCTAGATGTTGTCAATGGAGCTGGCTCCTAAAATAGATCCGGCTGGCTGCTGCATTGGGCAGACTGGCTCATGAACCTGGCTCAATTAGCCCCCCCTGGTCTAAGACCCGGATCAAGGGGGATTTGAGCATAACCCCTCAACAGCATTGGCTGTCAACTCTTGATGGACCCTTATCTAGCTAGACCAATCCCTTCAGCTTGGTGCTCTCATCCTTTCAATCCATACAAAGAGTAAAAACCCAAAAGTAGGTTCTAACACTTCCCTGCTGCAGCCAAAACTAAAAACAAGTTTTGCTTTAGACACTATAATGAGCAAAGTGGTCTCCCCGACTAACAGTAAGGCTCAGAAGGTGAAACCAGACTTGACTTTTAGAGGACATGTCAAAATTTGGATATGCTTTCAGCTGCTTACGTCTCCAAGGTTTTCAAAGAACATAATCTCTTCCTATTAATTTGATTAAATGCTCAATTTTAATGGCACCGCCCGAATCGTAACACGTTCATGTCAAAACACCAACATTTTTCTAGGTTTATTTGAAATTTATCGGAAATTATTTAAAAACAAATAAGAATTTCCCGTCCCATAAACAACCTGAAAAAGTAAGCAGTAAACTGCCAGAGTTAAAGAAAAAAAAAATTAGGCTACCAGTTGTTATTTCTCTTTGCCTTTAATATTTGTAAAACTTAATAGAAAATATTGAAATGGAAAAGTTAAAGTGGTCCTAAAGCCTTCGTTTTTTTGCCTCTATCTACTGCTATCAAGCAGTAGATAAAGGCAAAAAGTTTTTTTTGTTTTTTTTTAAACCGCTGTAACTGCGCTTTACACTTACCTTGTTTTGGCTGCACGCTCCCGTCCGAGAAAACGAAACTGCTCCGGCGGCCGCAAAGCATCTTGGGACGGTCGCATGCGCAGTTCGGATTCTCGGCCGGGAGACGAGCAGAGACGCAAGGTAAGTCTATGGACGCGTACACCCGCATGCAGACACCGCTGGATCGGAAGTGCCTGCAAGCAGAGAGGAGTCAGAGCTGGATCGGAGAGCCGCCGCACCGCTGGAGGGACAGATGAAAACATCAGGAAAGAAGAAGAAGAAGATCGGATAAGGAGACACCATTTAAGGTAAGTGCTGACATTAACATGGGGGGAGGTAAAACATTCTTATCCTTTAATGTCACTCAAGATGTCAGTAAGTACAGTTTCCTAAACCATCAAACAACATGCGAAAACAGGAAGAAACTCTAAAAGGAACAAGTCTGGCAGACCCAAAACTACAACAGGGGACTACTTCATCAAGAACTTCACAGTGGGCCAAGTAAACAGGTCTCACTATCACCTGTGAAGAGAAGTACTTCAAGTTGCAGTTTGAAGTTAAGCTGGACATACACCTATAGATTTTCGATCGGAAATTTTCGTTGCTGCCAAGAACTTTCGATTCTAGCTCAAATAGCCCACCAAGCACAGACCAGATTCGATAATCGTTCATTAGCAATACTAACTCACCGAATTTCGCCGATTGACAGAATTGATTTTTGTTTGCGCATGTGCAGTGTTCTTGCTGCGATTTTGTTCGTACGCCATTAATCCATCGATTTTTTATACGATTAGGAAAAAGTTTTCCAGCCTCCCTGACTGAGGAATTTTGGCCAGGAGTACCGTAATTAAAATCGTTGGTGTCCCACAAGTGATCCATTATCGTTCAAAAGACCATTCGTGGACCATTTCCAAACGAAAATCGATAGGTGTATGGGCATCTTAAAAGGCTTGCAAGGATTTCCAGCCATTGGACTACTGAAGACAGGAGGTATGTTTAATGGACTGATGAGTCAAAATGTTAAATCTCTGGTTCAATGCAGAGTTTCCTGCTTCAATGAATGACGTGATATTCTGGGGCTCTTTTGTTGGATCCAGATTTGGTGATGTGCACCCTAAACCTGTCACAGCATTTTGGAGCACCCATGCCTCCAGCAAGATAATGATCCAAACAGAACTACCTCAGAAGAATAAAATAAGGCAGTAGGCTTCAAATCATGGAACAGCCAACCACAGTCACCAGACTTAAAGCCTGTCAAGCTGGTTAGAGATAATCAGGGCAGAAGGGTAAGTGTAAAACTTCCCACAAAGAGCAAATTGTGGAAATTTCTGCAACAGTGTTGGCAAGACCTTTCTGAACAATATCAGATTTTCCATAGTGCAAAGAATGCCACAAGTGTTTGTCTCTTGTATCTGTGAAAGGTGCCAAATTTGATAAGTCAAACATTTTGTTTAAAATTTGTTACCCAAAACTATGCCATAATTTAATTTCTTATCTCCAATTGTTAATTTGTTATATGAAGACATTAAAGCGGACCTTTACCCATATCTTTAAAATCACAACAAACACACCTTTAGGCCAGGTTCACACCTAGGCGACTAAGCTGGTGAGCGGTTTGCGCGACTGTTCTTTGAAAACTGCGCGTTTGATGCACGGTTTTTAATTCATAGAGATATCTGTGGGACCGAAACCGTGCCACAACCGCCCGAAAATAGCTCCTGAACCTATTTGCGCGACAGGTGATTTGGTCCGCGCGACAAATCGCAAAAGGTGTGGACAGCCTACATTGACTTCAATGGGAATCTGTGTTTTGCGTGATAAATTGCCTAGGTGTGAACCGAGCCTTAGAAATGTTTAGTAATGACGATCTACAAACACATACTTCTAGATAATTGCTGGCTTTGTATTACCTTTGCATACCTTGTTTCTCTTTTCTTCCCCAGTCTTCTGACCGTGGCCATGTTTACGAAGGGCAGATTACTAGCTCTCCTATTACCTCCTGGATTTCTGACACATGTGACCAGGACATGTGACCATACACATCATCTCAGGGGAGGAAAATGCCTTTCCCTGAGATGACAGATGAGATTTCACAGCAATGTTCTGCTGATGATGAGGCAATCCCAGTGTGCATTGCTTTGGCAAACTGAAGTTATTTTGCCCTTTCAGAGCAGGAAGTGAATGCTCTGCAAGTTTCAGTATTTCAAAATCACAGCATTTTACACCTGACATGTCTATGTTGTTATTAATCGTCATAAACAGAGGGATGCATTGGTAGAATTTGATTTTTGAGTGTAAAGATCTGCTTTAAACCGCAAAAAAATGTATCAAATAATGGAAAAATTAGGCTATTCTAACACACACATAAATACACACACACACACACTTACCGTGTTCATTCTTATATCCCACGCCTTTACTGCAGGGGAGAACCCCCCACATATAAAAAGATTAGGGTCACTTGGGTGAAACCTGACTGTGCCAATCTTCCATTCATTGTTCGCATTGAAAAGGTTCTTTCCTAAACAAAACAAAACAAAAAACTTAAACATTCGCCTGATAAGTATAATTAAAAATAGGCACAAATTACTGATTGACTTGTCCCTATAATTACTACATTGTTACATTAGGACACATGCAAATATAGGATCCTGCTCTGTCTCCTGCTACCTAATCAACAGCAAATTGTATTCATTCTCCTTTTTAATACAAAACCCGAAACGTGTAAACTAACTAATTTTAATTTCCCTACGGAAAATAACATTGAGATATTAAGAGAGGGGGGGGAGACGTGGTTACCATGGGGATGCTGTTTGAGATGTAATTATGTATAGAATTATTACCACGAGCCAACAGTTAGACACAAAAGTTTATTAACAAAACCTTTGGCAAAACTGTCTCACAGCTGGGAGAAAAAAACAAACATTTCTTTACGTAAACTATCGACGTGACTACATGCCCACTGTAATTTTAAAATGTTTTCAGCTTTAATTACGGCTTGCTTTGAGAGTGACATATTCTGATGTCACAGTAGATCCTGTAGATGCCATTGCATTTATTAACTGTTTCCCCGAGTTTACACAAGTGAAAACAACTTGGTAGTGCGCAAAATGTCTGTGGGATGGATGGATGATTCGATGGATGAATGGTCAGATCAATGAATAGATATATGGATGGATGGATGATTCGATGGATGAATGGTCAGATCAATGAATGGATGGATCAATAGTTAGATGGATGAATGGATAGTTGAATGAATTAATTACTGTATGGATGGATCAATAGTTGGATGGATGAATGGATGGATGGATAGTTGGGTGTATGAATTACTGTATGGATGGATCAATAGTTGGATGGATGGATAGTTGGGTGTATGAATTACTGTATGAATGGATCAATAGTTGGATGGATGAATGGATGGATGGCTGAATGAATGGATGGATGGATGGATAGTTGGATGGATGAATGGATGGATCAATAGTTGGATGGATGGATAGTTGGGTGGATGAATTTCTGTATGGATGGATCAATAGTTGGATGGATGAATGGGTGGATGGATATTTGGGTGGATGAATTTCTGTATGGATGGATCAATAGTTGGATGGATGAATTACTGTAATGATGGAAGGATGAATGGATGGTTGGAATGATATAGATTGTATCTATATATTTCTAGATATATGATGGAAAGATGGACCCTTGGATCGATAAATAAATCCATGGATCGATGGATAAATAGATCAGTGCATAGATGGACATACCAACGAGTGGACACTTGGAGTTGATGGATGGACAGACAGATAGAGAGATAGATAAGACAGACCTGCTTGTTCAGGTACACTTGGTCAAATGACATAATAGCTGGTCAAAAGTCATTACAGATTTCACAGGAACAGGAGTTCCTATTGGAAGATTTCCCCTCTATTCCTGTAGCTGGTGGTAACTCAGAAATTTGGATACACCAACACCGTCATTTCCAGTAACATTGGTAATCAGGACATTCAGAAAGGTTGCATCTCCTGAACAGGGACAAAGACAGCAATAAAACTCGATGGAGGTTTGGACCCCTCACCACTCTATCCAAATTTAAGATAACTGCTTTCAGTTATACTTTAAAGGAGAATTAGGCAGAGATTGAAATACACTCACCCCCATAATTAGAGCTGACGTGACACTGAAGCGTCACGTCACTGTTGATCAGGAACTGAGCGATATCATACCGCCAAATCGCTCAGTTTCCGATCATCTCCCTTCAGAGAGATGTGACTGTCAGTCATCGCTCCCCGTAGGGATTCCCCCCTCCCCTCTTCCTTTCTCCAGCACTGACTGGAGGGACAGACAGGGGAGGGGGCGGGCATAGCTGGCTCTGGCTCTAGAGAGACAGAGCCCGCTGTCAATCAGGTGGCAGGGGTAGATCCTGACAATACTGGCTGCAGCGAGGCTCTCCGGTGTCAGCATATACCAGGCAATAGCCCGCTATATGCTGAGTTATGGGTCACAGGAGGACATTGGTATATGTCCTCCTGTGATCCTACAGAGAACCATGGCCAAAAAAGGTTGGCCCAAAGCTCTCTTTTAAATGTTGGATATTAGACAATTACAATTTGTTTCCTAAAATTAAAATATAATACCGTTGCAAACTTTTTATTTTTATTTTAGCTTTGAATACAGTGTGGAAGGATTATAACTTCTGTCTGGTTATTTTTGTCTGCTTTACTCATGGAAAAATGTGCCCTAATTTTATGTATGGTTGCCCTCCTTACCATCTTGTCTTGAATTGTATTGTAATGTCTTCCGTATATTGTAAAGCGCTGCGCAAACTGTTGGCGCTATATAAATCCTGTATAATAATATGGTTACTAGAAATGAAGGGGAATATTTCTATCAAGGAACCAGAGGTCTTGCTGCACTCCTTACCGGAACATCAAAAGACCCGTGCAAACAGGTGGGTGCTTGTAGTGACCACGGGTGGCACCGTAACTCAAATGAAGAAATAAAGTCACCAGCACACCAAATAGTAATTTAGCAATAGTCCATTTAATGACACATTGCCATTCAATGCAAGCGTTTTCGGGGGCCTCAAGGGGTCCCCTTCATCAGGCTCAGAATGACAAAACACTGAAGAATCATACACCTTAAATAGAGATCCAACTGTGAGTTAAAACCAGACCCCTCCCATAGAGGCAGCATCATCATGGAGCCCATTCTCGCCATAAGACATTCAAAAGTTACTAACCTGAAGTGAATCAAGTATACAAACGGCATGCAAACGAGTGCGGGCCGTTGATTTAAGAAGGCACGGGTGGTTGCCTAGGTAGCAACCACACGTGGCGCTACATAAATCCTGTATAATAATAATATGGTTACTAGAAATGAAGGGAAATATTTATATCGAGAACACAGACAGCCATAAAAAAACATGAGGTGAGGAAGGTGGAGTTGGAAGGGAGAGGAAGGAAGAGAGTTGAGGAGAGGTAGAAGGAGACAAAATAGAGATATTATGAGATCATTTTTCAGTTAGATAAACAAACCATCATTCAAACATATACACAGCGACTACTACTACCCTGTTTCCCCGAAAATAAGACCTAGTACTATTTTTCGGAATTGCTAAAATATAAGACCTACCCCGAAATTAAGACCTAGTTGTGACCATTCCCAGGGCCGGTGGTGGCATAAGGGGGAACTTGAAGAGCCGCGGGAGAGAATCAGCGGTGCCAATGAAGCCGGCGCTAGAGGAGCGAGGCGGCAGCGGAGGGAGCAGAGCCGCATAAGCCGATGCTTCCTCTATAGCGCCGGCTCCTGTCACAGGCGGAGTGATACCAAATGCACTCCTCCTGTGAGGAATCGATAGTGAAAGTGCGCTTCGCTCATTCTGGCCAGCGATTGGTTAGCAAATTGCTCTTGGAAAGGTACGGCACCCCTGATTGCCCTGATCACCATATTTATGCATATGAATACATGTACAATTTTCTACATAAATAAGTGTGAATTGTTGTACATTAAAAATAAAAATAAGACCAACTTCTGAAAATAAGACCTAGTGTGTTTTTTTGAGCCCCAAAAAATATAAGACAGTGTCTTATTTTCGGGGAAACACGGTATGTGCCGTGAGGGCATAACTAAGACTGCTTCCATAAGAGAGTCCAAATCCGATTCGCGCTGCCACGGTCTCAAAACCACAAGGTATATGTGGTGCCCAGGTGGCCACACGGATTGCGCCGTGCAAAACACTAATAGTAAATAAAAGTAATTCACCGGGACACACTTGAAGGGTTTTTAAAGTATTGATATATGTATTGATATGTGTATTGATATGTTTATTCAATACCCAATGTCACATATTGAATAAACATACTACTGATTCGGGTCCGCACAGGGATCCTTCACTGTTGCTCTGATGAAGAAGGTTCCCTGTGCGGATCAGAAACGTTAGCACCGTATGACAGTATGTGACATTGGGTATTGAATAAACATATCAATACACATATCAATACATATATCAATACTTTAAAACACAGGTGGGGTATAGCAGGTGCACACAGGTGGGGTAATTTCCTGCAAGTTCATAAAACGAAATACCCCGCAAAGATGAGCGCAGGGGGACATTTTGTTACACACATATGAACCAATTCAAACTTTTTGGCCAAGTAAAAAAGCGAGCATTTCCTGCAGTAGAAAGCAGCGCACTCGACGTGCTTTGGCTGTTGACAGCGACGATCCTGTCAAAACGTTAGCAAGCCTTCAAAGAGGCCGACGTCCTGCCATGTATTCAAGCCCAATATTAAAGTGACATGGAACACAACAAATTGCAGCAGACATAGTAATTAAGTTAACTGTGTTGCCACTCAAGAAGGCAAAGCACTGAAATGGAGAAGGTAATTGTGTGTACAAAATTAGACCCGGCTCGAACTAAAAGGAGAAAAAAAAGAAAAAGCTGCAGTCAAAGACTTCAGTGTTAAAATATAAACAGCTGAGCGCAGTTTTATGGAGAAGTACGGTTTTATAGCATTTATCATTTTGGAGCCTCTCCTCCTTCTCCCCTTTATTTATTAATAAACTATAGAATTTTAATATAATTTTTTTTAAACCGCAGCTCTATTGCGATTTTTCAACGTGCAACCTGAACAGCCGCAGATAGGCTATCGGTTGATGTGAATGTCTTATAGTAGGGGGCCATTCAACTGGACATGATCCGTAATGCAGACGACGTTTCGCAGCTCATCCAAGCTGCTTCAGTTCTAATGACTTTCAGGAAACATTCACCCACCCCAGCATTTATAACCACACAGCAAGCACAGACACCTTCATCAAATTACCACTGAATGAGTCTCGGCACATGCTGATTGTCCAAGAACAGGATATGAAGTGTGAAAGTTGTGGAACCACCATGTTCTTGTTACATAATCCCATCCTCGGCATCAGGAAGTCTACACAAGTGTTAACTTTTCAATTGATATGGCTCAAGGTGTAAATTCTTGTCAATGGGGCAGAGATGTTAACATGGCAATATATCTGAAAGACAGAAGGTATTGAAGGCCCCAACCCTTGTTCAGGGCTGGTTGTTTGACGTAGATGGCCTCTGTCACGCTATAAGGACAAGTGTGTAAAGAACCTTTGAAGCAGAGATCTTACTCAGCCGGAGAAGGAAGTTTTAGCTAAGGGACTGAACTATGTTGTGGCACCCCGACATGTCCCTGTGGTGGATATTATCACTGCTACAGAATAATTCCATCCATACCAACCACATATCAATAAAAGAGGCTGAACAAGTCCAGGGGTGCGGGATTCCTATTGCCCGATGCCCAGGACATGCAGATCTGGGCACCGGGCTAAATGTAGAGCAGGGGATCTGCCGCTCGTTTTGTACAAGTGATCTGGGCGACTGGATAAGCTATGAAAATCCTTAAGCCACGTTTAATGTGACTGACTACTACTAGCTATACTGTGAACTGGATAAATGAGAACCTTCACAGACATGTTGAAGTAAATGGAGTATACAGTACATTTGCATATGCGGGGGATGAGATGCAGAAATGTTTTTCAAGAACTCTGGTGTCAAGACATTCCCACCAGTACTCAAATTTCTGCTCAATCAGTATTATCACTAGAGGGATCTCCAGCAGGAGGAAGGAGGTCCTGATTCCTCTATATAGATCTTTATTATCACTAGAGGGATCTCCAGCAGGAGGAAGGAGGTGCCGATTCCTCTATATAGATCTTTATTATCACTAGAGGGATCCCCAGCAGGAGGAAGGGGGTCCCGATTCCTCTATATAGATCTTTATTATCACTAGAGGGATCTCCAGCAGGAGGAAGGAGGTCCTGATTCCTCTATATAGATCTTTATTATCACTAGAAGGATCCCAAGCAGGAGGAAGGAGGTCCCAATTCCTCTATATAGATCCTTATTATCACTAGAGGGATCTCCAGCAGGAGGAAGGAGGTCCTGATTCCTCTATATAGATCTTTATTATCACTAGAAGGATCCCCAGCAGGAGGAAGGAGGTCCTGATTCCTCTATATAGATCTTTATTATCACTAGAGGGATCCCCAGCAGGAGGAAGGAGGTCCTGATTCCTCTATATAGATCTTTATTATCACTAGAGGGATCCCCAGCAGGAGGAAGGAAGTCCTGATTCCTCTATATAGATCTTTATTATCACTAGAGGGATCCCCAGCAGGAGGAAGGAGGTCCTGATTCCTCTATATAGATCTTTAGTTAGGCCTCATTTAGAATACTGTGTCCATTTCTGAAGACCTCACTTACAAAAAGATATTGATCTGAGGGATAAAACATATTGGGAGAGACTGCAGGAACTTAATATATACAGTCTGGAGGAAAGAAAGGATAGAGTGGACAAGATTGAAACCTTTAAATTTGATTCAATATGAAGCTAAGAAGAAGAACACGGGGGGACATGACCTCAAAACTAGCAGGTGGAAATTTCAAAAATAACCTTAGAAAATATTATTTTACAGAAAGAGTGGTTGATGTTTGGAACAGACTTCCATTGGCATCCAATTAGGTCCACCTGAAAAACAGACCCGATTAGACCACCCGTGTGAAAGGGGGCTATTACAATTTTTTTAAGGCAAGTTGTTTCAACTAGAGTTGATAATAAGGACAGTCAAAGCAGACCTAAAAACCTGACTAACCTGTTTCAACATCCGTTAAATGCAAAAGTGAATCAAAGCCGCCAGTAAGAATCTTCTGACCACAAGCAGACCAGTGCGCATCACGTACTGCAACGCGGTGACTTGTAATTGTGCGGAGGCACTTCCCACTATCCAGTCCGTCCCACACCTAGAAAGACAGGGAACAAATGTATCCTTATATCCCTTTAAATCACACAACAGACATCTACAGATTTTTTTTTAAAAAACAACATTTTTATTGCTTTGTTATTTACATATTATCACAAAATTGTAAAAAAATAAAATTAATAAAAATAAAATTAACATAAAACCCACAAAATTCTTCATAATCGCAGCTTAATAGTTACACTGTAGCTATGTAGTTACAGCAAATTTCAACTGGCAATACAGCTTGGCTTATTGTATCATTTCTGACTAATGTGTATGAACAGGACTAATGAGTTCCCTGTCTGCCTTCCTGGCCAATAAAACTCTGTTGGGGTTATTCACAAAAGGGTGAAGAGTTTGGAGAAGGCAGGAGAAGAGAACAATCTGGGCCAAAATAGCTGAACTGGAAACATTCTCCAATTCAGCTCACTTTTCAGTCCAGCTATGTTGCCCTAGATTGTTCCCTTCTCCTGCCTTCTCCAAACTCTTCACCCTTCTGTGAATAACACCAACAGAGTTTCATTGGCCATGTAAAACAATAGTAATGGCCCCAGTGAAGGAAGTAAAGGACAAGATAGGAAAGAGAAGAGAGGAGCGGGAACAAAAGGAGAGGAGAGGAGCGGGAACAAAAGGGGAGGAAAGGAGCGGGAACAAAGGAGAGGAGAGGAGCGGGAACAAAGGAGAGGAGAGGATAGGGAACAAAGGAGAGGAGAAGAAAGGGAACAAAGGAGAGTAGAAGAAAGGGAACAAAGGAGAGGAGAAGAAAGGCTAACAAAGGAGAGGAGAGGAAAGGGAACAGAGGAGAGGAAAGGAAAGGGAACAAAGGAGAGGAAAGGAAAGAGAACAAAATAAGAGGAGAGGAAAGGGAACAAAGGAGAGGAGAGGAAAGGGAACAAAAAAAGAGGAGAGGAAAGGGAACAAAGGAGAGGAGAGGAAAGGGAACAAAGGAGAGGAGAGGAAAGGGAACAAAAAAAGAGGAGAGGAAAGGGAACAAAGGAGAGGAGAGGAAAAGGAACAAAGGAGAGCAGAGGAAAAGGAACAAAGGAGAGGAGAGGAAAGGCAACAAAGGAGGGGAGAGGAAAGGCAACAAAGGAGGGGAGAGGAAAGGGAACAAAGGTGAGTAAAGGGAAGAAAAGGAATAAAAAGGTAAGAAAGATGAGGATTGGGTAAGAAAGGAGAGATAAGGGAATAAAAGGAGGCCAAATGGAAAACTGGAGAGGAGGGGAAAGTCTAAGAAAAAGAGAAAGAACAAAACAAAAGAAAAAAAGAGAAAAGACCCCTCTATAATGTGACAGCACAGACAGAGATAACATGAAGCAGCAGGAAGCTTGCTATGCCTGTACCTTCATAATGCATTTGTAGCAGGTTTGAGCCAAATATTACCCCAACAATACACAATGTGCCACCATGATATAAAAGTAGATTAGCCTTCCCGCAGAAGCTGTAATTGAGGGCCCCGTGTGTGAGCTTTTGCTATGCAAATGTTGACAAGCTGAACATAAAATGTATCTTTTTATTCCGCTCGAAGTAAACCAGCTTTCTCCGCTCGTCGTACAAGCTGCAGCTCTTCATGCGTGCCATATATAATGTAAACACTCATTTTCATGTTTCTGTGGCCGTACGCAGCACAAAATGTACTGCAAGCCCATAAAAAATTCTTAAACTTCAATTGAATTATCAGCCGTCACATTTGGAGCATAATCCTCCTGTCCCATCGCACTCGTGACCGGACAAAAACCCAAATCCAACTGGGTGGGTGCGGTAGTCACATTTGGAGCAAACGCTGCCGGAATATCAACGCACAGCCTTTCTCCACAGCGTAACACACATGTTCAAAAAAAGAACACAGGTTTTTTTTTTTTTTACGTTCTTCTCATCTACGAAGGAGTCCCATCTATCATAATTCTATCGTGTCCAGCACATGTCTGTGCCGAGTGGCAGAGCTGTGCAAATCTCAGGTCTGGATAGACATAAATACAATTCCTGGAGATCTTTTTTTTTTTTTTTTAAAGAGAAAAGCATGGTAAGTCAGCAAAGGGGGAAATAAGTGAGCTCCAGGGAGCCTATAGGCAATACTGCACACTAGTCCTCTGTTTCTGTGTTATAGCACAGCTTCCACAGTACAGGTCCCCTTTAGAGTGGCACTAAACTTAGTTAAATCTTACAAATGCATTCAAAGTATCTTAACTCTGAACATCAATGTATATTATTTGTGTATCACTCGGCTGTAGATCCTCCAATCATCTCTGAATTGGTGCTGACACAGTCCTTCCTTCTGGAGGGGGGCTAGTTTTGTTCCCCATGGTCACTGGGGAACAATCCATCAAAGTTTGTGACTGCGTTAGAATGTGTGACCGGTCACGTGGTCACACATTTTAACGTAATCCCGCCCAGTTTTTCTGCCGTGGAATGTGTGACCGCCAATAGGTCAAGAATTCCAACGCTTTCTCAGCTGTTCCAGGGCAGATCGGCATCGCAGATCGTATGTGCAGGAGAACCGATCTGCCCTTGAACGGCGGATCGGTCCTGAAATGTGACTTCTATCCGACTTTGTAGAATGTGAGATCGCACTGACAAAGTCAGATAAAAGTGACATTTCAGGACCGATCAGCTGTTCCAGGGCAGATCGGATCTCCTGCACATATCATCTGCGATGCCGATCTGTCCTGGAACAGCTGAGAAAGCGTTGGAATTCTTCTCCTTTTGCGGGTCACATATTCCATCGCCGAAATAAAATAGGTGGGCTTACGTTAAAATGTGTGACCACGTCACCAGTCACACATTCTAACGCAGCCACAAACTTTGATAGAACATCAGCACCGATTCAGAGATGATTGAAGGATCTACAGCCGAGTGATACACAAATAAGATACAGTAAGGTTCCTGAATGTATTATTAAGATTGAACTCCTGAGTTTAGTGTCACTTTAAAGAAGCAAGGCGCGTTAGAAGTACATTCATCCTTTTAAATTCACATTGGGGTTTTTTCCCCCCAGAAATGACGATGACATAATTAGTAACCAGCATAATTTATTCCACAAAACCTCTAAGAAGTGACATTTAACAATAAAGTATCCAAAATAAAATCAGTAAATATTAATGGAAAAATAATCTTTTGTTCTTTGTATCTAATTGTATTCTAGAGGCGGATATGAGAAACTTTTGCCTTTCATGGAGAAATGTCTTTGTAATGTTATGCCATCAGCACTACCCCCTTGTTGAGTGCTAATTACATCTTTTTAAGTGGATATTTTATCTTACGGAATGCTCTGGAACTCAGTGTGCAAATGGAGAATCTGAAGATGAAAAAAGTATTTTCTTTTTCTTTTATCATAATTACTTTATTGTTATATACAGCAGCACTCGACTGAGGGGCTCATTTATAACAGAGCAGATACTGCTGTCCGTTATACTCCACAGTGTTATGCACACCATGGCCCCCATTTTACAGCCCATTCATAAAATATTGGCTGTGGTATGGAGCAAATGATGTCCCACTGGGTTCTCTCGGTTTAATGATTGGATTGTGATTGGAGGAGGACCTGTCATGTGACCAGGTCCACACTTTCTGCTATTTTGCATTTTAGACAAAATGTATTTAATTAATGATGCAAGTAATTATAATAGTGTTTTATCAAAATTACTTTACTGTTATAAAGTAATAACATATTACTGTTATAAGTACTTGACCAAATGACTCATTTATAAACTAGGGCTGCAGCTAACGATTATTTTCATAATCGATTAGATGCCCGATTATTTTTGCAACTAATCGATTTGTTGTATAAAGTGATTATATATATATATATATATATAGATATATATATATATATCTAACTTCTCATAATCGATTATTATCGATGTAAAATCGATTAGTTGTTGCAGCTCTATTGTAAACCCGCTATGCTCCACAGTGTTATGCACACCATCGCCCACATTTTACAGCTCATTCATAAAGAATGGGTCATGGTATGAAGCCTGTGGTGTCCTACGGAGCACTCTCGGTTTAATGCTGAGGTCTGTGATTGCAGGAGGGCCTGTTATGTGACTGACACAAGTCATGTGACCAGACCCTTTTTGTTTTTTTTGTTTTTATACAAGCTCAATTCAATTTATAGGGCCAGTAATTATGATATTGTTTTGTGATAATCATGTTATTGTGCTATACAGCAGTACCTAACCGAGGGGGATCATTTTTCATGAAGCACGGATACACTGTCCACTCTCTGTTACTACTCCATAGTGTTATACACACACACCACAGCCTGCACTTTACAGCCCATTTATAAAATGTGAGCCATGGCTTGCATTCTCTCCGTTTAATGCAGCAGACAGAGCTCTGTGATTAGAGGAGGGCCGGCCATGTGACTGAAAGGTCATAGCTATTTTTTATTTTTATTATTTTACACACATGTAATTCCTTTATTAGCACTCCACCAGCTTCAGAGTCCTAAAGCTGACAAAGTGCAAAGCACATCTATAAATAATATTTCATTATTATTTACACTTAACTTTATTGCTCTCACGCGGGAGCTAACAAGCCCCTGTGTGATAGCATTTTGGAGGTGACAGGTTGTCTTTATGCAACCTGGCACCTCCAATACAGGAGTTTGGGCACAGCACTGTGCTGGAACTCCTATGACAGCTGAGACATGAAGGCTGTAAGTACAGCATTTCTGTCTCACTGTTAACATGGAGCAGATTGGAGAACAGACGTTCCCCTCTCTGCTCCCCGCTCACCATCCTCATGTAATTTCCCTTGCCCTGAATCCCCCAGAAGAGCGGGGGACCACGAAAATCACGGCTGGAAGGGAGGCGGCCGATGTAAAACAATCCTGGAGTTCGTTAGAAATCTGGACCGCATCCGTGCAGAAGAAGCAATTGGGTCCAGAAATGTCACAGTCTATTTGCCTGTATTACGCATGTGTGGGGAATCGGGTCCAGATCATTTACAGCCAAGCAGCCGCTTCCCTGCACATGCGCAGTTATGCGTTAAAATGCA